GAATCTAGATTATAACGAATTAGAAGCACGATATGTTGAAGATATTTGTTGTGTTAACAAATTTTCAAAATTATACTTTAACTTGTAGACAATTAGATTCAATTTCGACAAAATCATAACGTATAGTGTAGATAAAGGATACAAATATAGTTCATTTAGTATTAGAAGAGACTACACACGTTATAAAAATGTTAAAATTATTAATATTATGTTCGTGTTGTGTGTTCGTATGGTCAGAAAAAGTGCGCTATGATAATTTCACGTTGTATAATGTAAAACCATTAACTGAAGAACATTTAAAATATTTGAAAGATTTGTACGAAGATACTGATGTTCTTGATTTCTGGAGTACACCTTCAATTGTTGAAAATCATGTCAGTGTTGTTTCTCCACCAGAAACAAAAGAAGAGTTTCAAAATGCACTCAAAAGTCATGGAATCGGTTATGATGTTGTATTGGAAGATATTCAGAAGTAAGTAGTTATAAGTAAAAACCATTAAAATAATCTTATTAATATTATAAATGTGTATGTTTGGATGGATGATTTTTGTGTAGCTATCTCCAGAACAGCTGCATATATCTCGCTGAAATTTGGCATATCTATAGAACATAGTCTGGAAGAACACAAAGGATACTTATTAAGTTCTTTTATCCCGCGCGGACCGAGTTGCAGGCCACAGCTAGAAATATTATAAATGCGAATGTTTGGATGGATAGATGTTCGTTTGAATGTATATCCAGAACAACTACATAGATCTCGCTAAAATTTGACATATCTGTACAACATACTCTGGATTAACACACAGACTACTAATTAAGTTGTTTTTTAATTTTACGTGGACGGAGTCGCGGGCGATAGCTAGTTCTAAAATATATATAAATGGTAATTATTGTAACATTCCAGAGAATTTGATGACCAAACACGGAATAGAAGGAAACGCGATAGTGGGATGTATTGGACCAACTATCAAACTATTGATGAAATTTACGAATGGTTACATGAACTTGCAAGAACTCATAGTAATTTTGTTACTTTGATTCATGCTGGCAAATCATACGAAGGTAAAAAAATTGTCAAAAATTGTATTGATTCTTCTCTCATTTTTGTGTAAAAAAATTTATAGCAGATTCTTGGATTTGTCGTCACTTTAATTGACCTTTCGAGGGAATTATTAATTCATGTTATATCAAAAGATTTATATAAGTTACTGTATTAATGTTTTTTTTCTTTAAAATTATTTTTTTTTAAGTTTTAGGAATTTAAAATAATCTTCTGAACTCGATGCCGAAGCCGAGCCAAAATGTCAACTGTCAGTTTTCTGGTGCTCATTTCTTTTTTGTTTTTCAAAAAAAGAACGCTGCTAAAATATAAGTAAATAAAAGTTTTAGGTTAAGGAATACACAATTTCTAAAGCAGTATTCTTATTATACAGGTAGAAATATCACTGGGGTGAGAATATCTCGTAGATCTGGAAGAAAGGCTTTCTTTATCGATGGCGGTCAGGTCGGAGCGGATTGGCTATCACCTACAGTTGTCACTTATTTAATAAATCAATTGGTGACCGGAGATGACCCTGAAGCTAGGTCAGCGTCAGAGGATTTCGAATGGCATATCTTCCCGATTGTCAATCCTGATGGACACCAATTTTCCCAAGATTCTGTAAGTATGGAAATACATCACGTATTATGACGATTCGTTATTACATTGAATTGAAATTGGTACTATGACAAGTAAATTAAACATATATCTTCTTGAACATTGATTTTAACCAACTCTAATATGAGTGCAAGAGCACACATAGCTTACTGATATGAAGTACAAGATTGGAGTAATCTATAAATTTGTAACATTCCAGGTGAGACTTTGGATGAAAAATCGTAGACCTTCGAGGAGTTCCGCTATAGGAGTTGATCTTTCCAAAAACTGGAATTCACAATGGGCAGGTAAATGATTAATTACCTATCTAATCTTACTAATATTATAAATGTGAAAGTTTGGATGGCTGGATATTTGTAAGAAGATATCTCCAGAACAACGGATCTCGATGAAGTTTGTTATGGGTGGAGAACATAATCTGGTAAAACACATAAGCTACAAAATAACTAATTTTTAAAGTCCGCGCGGATGGAATCGCGGGCTACATCTGGTTATTTTTTTAAGTCTTGATCCGATTCAACGTGTGCTATTTAATAGAATGTTCTTACATTATCTAAAATGTTATTAATCATTTCAGTAAGCGGAGGCAGCTTCAATCCGTCAGACAGTAATTACATAGGCCTAGGCCCATTCTCAGAGCCTGAAACGAGATATGTATCGCGTTACATTGATACTATCGGTACCAATCTTGCAGGATTATTATCCTTTAGAGCATTTGGTCAAAGGCTTTTGATACCATTCGCCCACACAATAGAACCAATGTATAACTATCGGGATATGGTAAGTAATTATTTTCTGTGTTTACATTGCAGAAACATTGGCATAAAATCATATTCAGATCTTTTTTTCGTCCAAGAAGACAAACTGAATCGTCAAGTTTTAAACAATAATTGCTAAGCTTTATACTTGTGGCCAGTTTCACGCGATTAGACTCTTACTAGCTGTCGCCCGCGACTCCGTCCGCGCGGGATTATGGATGTTGGCCGATTCTCAGACCTACTCAATATGCTCAAAAAATTTCATGAGAATCGGTCAAGCCGTTTCGGAGGAGTATGGGAACGAAAATTGTGACACGAGAATTTAATATATATAAGATTTGAGAAGCAGTTTTTACAGCTGTTATTTCTTATAGTTGACGATTGGCAGAAGAGCTATGGGATCATTGGCTGTTAAATACAATACGCAGTATCTCGTGGGAACTTCGAAGGAGGTGTATGGTAAGTTGACGACCTATGTCGATAATCCCTTTATTCATGATATTATGGCACAAATCACCATCTAGACAGATTTATTGTTAGTAATATAATAGACTGAAAGAATGAAATAAGCAAGCAGGCCATCTGATATTAAAGTCAACGGTAATAATTTTAACTTTGCTATCGCCCTTGACGAAATTTCTACAGCTTCCTCTTTTTTCACCATAATTTTGGAGGGAAGTGTTAACAGGGTTTTGAAAAACAATCTCACAGAGAAAGACATTCGCAGACCTGTTCAAAAATAATCAGAGGGATTAGACAAAGTGCATTCGCTTGGAAGCAAAACCATAGCGAACTTCAAAATTGTATGGAGCTGACGCACGACAATCACGTGACTTATCGAAATTTATTGTCAGTTCCATACAATTTCGTTGAAATTCATTGTAGAATCGCTTTAAGAGCAAATGCACTTCGTCTAACCCCCTAGTGTACTTTCTTCCTCATGAAGGTCTCCGTGTAAGTGATGTTCTTCACATTTAAAAACTGTTAATTCCAGATGGCTCAACTGGAACAATCGCTGATTGGGTTAAACATCGCTTCAATCCACCAGTTGTAGCTACATACCAACTAAGAGATCGATCTTGGGGCTACACATTACCAGTAAATCAAGTTCTACCATCCTGCGAAGAAACATATGACTCGGTCATGGCTATATTAAGAGAGGCCAAGTTTATGAATGTGCTGCAATGAGTAGGAAATTTGATAATAAGCTTTTAGTAATAAAATGTGTTTAAAAATCAACTGCATTTTCTTTGTATAAATCAAGTACTACTCTTATTAAAACACATATTTCATAATCGTTCAAGATTGTATGGTGTCAATTATCTATCGATAAATATTAAGTATCTACTTTGTAAGTATCTTGTTATCTACACGTTAAACATCGATATTAAACCAATAAACTAAGATTAGGTCAGTAAATATTTCCATTAGTGAAATCTCATTCAAGCTGCACCAAATTTGATTTATAGTAGTACCACGCCACGCCAAACTATGAAAGTGCTAAGATAAACCCACTTGACATGCTTATTTATAGATTTTTTATTATTAATTAATTTTATTTATTTATTAAGAAAAGCTAACAGCATATATATAAAATAGCGTGAAAACAAAATTCACACATAAATTTTACATATGCCAATTATAGGCATGCAAAAATTACGTTACACGCTTTTTTATTTATACAATTTTATACACTTGATTTTTATAATTTGGATAGTTTATTATTAAAAAATCCCAAGCTATCACTAAATATGTATATGTCCAAGTTGTTAATGCTGTTATATTCGTTACATATACGCAACAATGGGTTATTGCGGCCAAGATTACTCCTGGCAAATTTAGTGTGAAATATATTTTTATGGGGTTCCTATGGCTTACTCTGGATACAGATATAGAAATTTGTTGAGTTTTTGTAAAGATGCATTTCCTTTTGCATCTGTGTGTACAATAGTAACATTCTAATAAAAATGTCGATAAAATGGTTGTGTATTTAGGTTAAGTCAAATTGCAGGACTTAAATCGTAAGACTAAATAATATATACCGCAGTTCGTAGTCTGGAAAGTGGCCAAGATTTGAAAACAGTTTATAGACAGAACGACGATAAGCGTAAACTATATCAAAGTAGATTTGTAACATATAAATCTTTAGCACCAAATGGGGGAACAACTTAATTTAGAAGACGAATTAATATTAAAATTTTTGTTACAAGATTTCGCTGTAATAAATAAATTATTATTGTTTACCCATCTCTACTTTTGTTACTATTTTAGGAAGAAATCCGACAATGTGCCGGTGTACTAGCGCAACTCTAGCCTTACTAAAATGTTGACGTTTATGTCACTTCACTAATCATTCTGATACTTGACTTTGTAATGAAAGCGCGCCATTCGCGCCAAAGCATTCTGATTAATAATGTCTAAAACTATTATATAAATGTACCACCTCAGCCCTAATAAAGACAGGATTTGAAACGTCCCGGTTTTAATCCCTTCGCTGAACAACTACGCAACAGACGTTCTTGAGTAAAGTCATATTTTTTTTTTAATCCATAATCCATTTAAATTATCTTTTATCACAACCTTGAGCAATTTGATATCATGTTAAGCGCGGTTACTATTAGTAAATTAGTTGTGTCTACCAGAAGTGTATAATGGTAGAAATGAAGATACTTGTAACAAAAATTATTTTGCTCTTTGCCTTTGTATCCTGTGAAAAGGTCCGATTTGATAATTACTCTCTGTACAAGATATTTCCGAAAAATGAAAATCACATCTCAGTACTTCAAGAGTTAAGAAATAATGAAGATAAATATGATTTTTGGAAAGACCCTGCAGTGGCTTCGGAATTTATAAGCGTCCTGTCAAGTCCTCAAGATAAAAGCGAATTAGAAAGTTTCCTGAACTACTATAACATTGAATTTGTTATCACACAGACAAATATTCAAGAGTAAGTATTGTTCTTCATTTTGTACCCTTTATTGACTTTTCTATCCTCTTCTTTAAAGGGAAAATTACAGTTAAATATGCTATTAAACGTCTAATTTGTTTCAATGCATTTACCATAACTTTCTGAGACAAACACCCTGTTTAAAACATATCTCAAACATGTCAAAAATAATGACAATGTATTCAAACGGGGATTTTGGATTCGGAAACCCACGATTAGAGGTGTTAATTTGTTCGAAATATTGTAGGATAATAGATAAAGAAAATGTCGCAACCTATACAAGGAACAATCTCAGAAACATGACATGGACCAGATATTATGACATGGAAAGTATCAATTCTTGGTTAGATGATTTGGTGTCCTCATATTCTGTTGTAACAGCTATAGTTGGTGGAAGGTCATTAGAAGGTCGTGATATAAAGGGTATCAAAATATCACATGGGTCCGGAAGAAGAGCGATAGTTCTAGAAGGCGGTATCCATGCTAGAGAATGGATATCACCAACAGCAGTCTGCTATATTATTGATCAACTATTAACAAGCAATGATAGAGAAACCAGAGCGGCTGCTGCTGATTACGATTGGTACATATTTCCAGTTACCAACCCTGATGGGTACATATTCAGTCATCAAGTGGTAAGATTTGTCTTTTATATTTCTGATATTGGTTGACTATTAAATAAAACACAAAAAAACGTAGTACAGGAAAGTTGGCAGAAGGATAAGTTTGATAATTAAAATTATGTTGAAAGTATCAAAATCCCTAAATAAATTCATAATCATGAACTATTTAAAAAGTATCAAAATATCCAGAAAGCCATGGCTACTAAGAATATAATATTATGACGAAAAGACATCTGTAATATTCCATTACAATTTCCAACGTTTATTTCAGAACCGAATGTGGCGTAAAAATCGCAGACCTATAGGTTCTAATTACGGCGTTGATTTGAACAGAAACTGGAACAACAATTGGCTTGGTAAGTCATATTTTTTACCCTATTTTAGAATTTTGTTAAAATCATAGTAAGATGACTATGTCTAGAAAATATCATGAAATAGTGGTTCTTATAATGAGCCTTAAACTGTTGCAGCCATTGCGACTAAATATTACATTCCAAAAGAATCGAAACAAAGGTCAATTATAAATAACATTCCAAATATTAAGTCAATTAATTCATTTAAAAATGCGTACTATAATTTGTCATTTTTTTAGATATGTCTAGTCGATATGTTATGATAAGGTCATAAATATGATATTTACAAATATTCTCGCAATCAGTTCAGATTACAGTGCAGTTAGCAGAACTATCTTAAATATTTTAGCATTAAAAATGTATTCCGTATTCTGTAGTAGACCATAAGTATTCAAAAATAAACAAGAAAATATAGGAATGAATGAATAAACAAATGATCGTAGGAAGGATGAGACTTTTGTATCAGATAATGAATTATGTATTTAGAAGTGACCATAAAGGAACCTTGGAATTTTTAATGCTTTCAGTTCACGGATCAAGTAGTAATCCCGCAAGGGACGATTACGCTGGTCTTGGACCATTCTCGGAACCGGAATCGAGAAGTCTTTCTTCATACCTTTTAACACTACAGGGTAAAATAGATCTTTACCTTTCCTTCCATTCTTTCGGACATCTCCTTTTGCTGCCATTTGGAAATACAACTGAGCCTCTAGCTAATTATCATGATGCAGTAAGTTTGCAAATTCTTCAGACTTAATAATGGAACGTAAAGAAATTAAATCATATCTAACATAATTATCTATTCCAGATGAATATTGGAAGAAGAGCAATGGGTGCATTATCAGTTAGGTACGGGACAAAGTACGTCACGGGAAACATTGCTGAAGCTATTTGTAAGTACGCTCAGAATTATTTCACCTTTCTATTCGTCACCACCTCCATAAAATCCACTTCCCCTTCTAATCCTTTCCTTATCAAGGTTGGAAAGGGAATAATGACTAAAATTCCTACACATTCACCAGACGAAACGAATGACATCTTCTTCCCACCTGTATTTTGTGTTGTCGTAGTATTCGATCGCAAGATCCACTCGTGCTGTATTGTGGCTGGCGTTTACCACTGTTATACTTTATTAAATATTTAGTTTACAAAGTAGAATTAAAAACATATTTAATGAAATTTATTTGTAACAATTATTGATTAAATTTACAGACCTTGCAACAGGCGGCAGTATTGATTGGGTCAAAGAACATCTTCAAGTACCTTTGGTATATTGCTACGAGTTACGTGATCAAGGAACCTATGGGTTCCTTTTGCCGGAAAATCAAATCCTACCCAACAATGAGGAAGTAATGGATTCAGTTATCGAACTGATCCATCAAGCGAAACGATTTGGATACATGAGTAGCGCGTCCGGACTTAAAGCCAGTTTATTAATGTTAACAGCTCTAGTTTTATTCTACATTTTTTAAATACTAAGATAAATGTTAAAATAAATAATTACTAATTAATAACGTTTTTCTCATTAAAGACAGATTCTGATACAATATTTTTCAAAATAATTCCATGATATAACTTACTAATATTATAAATGAGAATGTTTTGATGGATGTGTACCATTCGTTGGGTTACATTTGGCTCGTTCACGTACCGCCACGTATTGCCGGTCCAAAGGTCTGACATCGACTGACGCCCCCTCTCTCCGGCATGCACCAATGGCATACACTACGACTGCATGGATCTAGTTGAAATTTAGTATAGATATAGAATATACTTTTTGGGAAGATATAGGCTAGTTAATAAGTTTTTTTTTTTAATTCCACACAGACGAAGTTTTGGGTGACATCTAGACTGCCATAAATTGAGGAAAATATCATTTTATAATGCATACGGAACTTATAAATACTATATTTTATAAAATGATTAAGTTAGAAGATCAGTTTTGATTCAACATAATACTTACTTAAAGATAAGAAATAAAATTTAAGTAAATTTTGAACTCTGTTCTGTTATTTTTTTATATTTATTTGAATATGAGTGTCTAGATTCATGATCGAACAATGTTATAAAAAGTTTCATACAAATAATATTAAAGCACTACAGCCACTTTTGCTATTAAATTTTAGTGGACTTGTATTCACTACGGCCGCTGCAAAACACCATGTGAAGATTCAGCCGTCGGCCATTAGGGTATATGAGAGCGGTCAACGAGAAAGAACAAGTTTATGCAAGATTATGCAGCAATTTTATGACTTTGCTATAGATATCGCACATGCTTACTTCATTTAAAACAACACATCAAACAGTGACTGACTTATTTTGAAGTCTTAGTAAAATCCTTTTTCTTGCTGGGATTAACCTTCTATCAGTCTACTTAAATATCTGGTATTTTTGTACTGACTGCTACATTAAAAACGTTCTTAATATATAGCTTGGATCTTTGGTAACTTCATATTTTCAAAGCCATTAAAGTAAATATGAAATTCAAATCTTTCTTATGGGTCCCTTTTGGATAAAGCTATTCACAGGACCACAGCTAGTGGTCGAGTTATCGCGATCACGGCGCTTTGAAGCGCTCGCCCCCGGCCACTCGGAACTACGCACGGATTCCTCGCAAGTTATTTACAAACAAGTTGCTTACAAACTAAAACTAAAGGATATTCTACGTATTGTATTTTAATCAAATTTTAAGGCCACAACAATCAAAAAAATTGCAAGAACAAAAAAAATCGATATTTCTTTAAAGTGAAAAGTTTTACTTAATAGAATCTAAATTGTAGCAGTTTTTAATCGTTGGCAAGTCAACAATCAAATAAAAGGTCTATGCAGTAAGTTGCGGAAAAACTTTAATATTCATTAAAAACTAATATTCATCTACGATTCATATTGATCGAGAAATTGATAACGTTAGTATGGTTTGACATGGTAATTATATAAGCAAAAAAGTAATGAGATTAACTGTGGATGGCTTCAAAGAATACTTACATACTCCGCTGGGGTAGCGCCCCGAAGTGGGTCTTGGCGTCCGACACAAGAGATCGTCAAAATCGCCTGTCCTGCACCTTCTCCTGACAGTCCATCGCTTGTAGCTCCCGCAGATCCTGCTCTACGGCGTCTCGTCAGCGGTATGGAAGAAACTACAGATGGATTGTGTGAAAGAGGATATGCGCAGATTCCGATATGACAGCTGATAGAGACGTATGGAGTAGTACATACTGTGCCGACCCTCCGTAGGGATAAGGTCAGGTGGATGATGATTCAACACGAGACGATGGGAAGAGTTAGTAAATAACTGAAATGAATTGCTAATAAAGGCAATGCTTTATAATATGAAATAACAATGAGTTGAATTCATAAAGTGTGATTATTAAAGAGTCAGTACACAGTTATTGTTTCACCCAACATTTTCACGGTAGGGCACTCAACGGTAATGGATTTGGTGGAAATTAATTATTTTCACTGCTCGACACACCGGCTTTATTCGTATTTCTAGAACTTTCCATGTTTGAAATTCGTTTTTTTTTAATTTCATTAATTTAAGCTTTATTAAGTGGACGTCAAAGTGCAAATTTGATTGTACTCGAAGTCCAGACCTTACTATTGTTCCCTGTTGATTATTTTACTTTTTTATTAGCACCTATTGTTACAACTGATACCTTTAATTTTATCTGACTTAAATTGTTTAATTTTGATCAAAATCGACGAACTGTAGACAAAGTACCTTTTAGCAGCTTTGTAGATTTCCTAGAAACTAATTTAACTCAGAAGCATTTCTTTGATGAAATGGACATAGTGACAATATAACTAAGGTGAAGAAAAGTAAAATAACTTAAGTACCTTCAATCATACTAATATTATAGCGAACGTTTGGATGGATGGAGCTTTGTTGAAGGTATCTCCAGAACGGCTGAACGGTTCTCGATAAAATTTGGCATACATATAGAATATAGTCTGGAAGAACATGTAGGCTACTAATTATGTTAATAAATTAATTTATCAAAATGTAATATCCAATTTATAATATCCGTTAATTAACTATCAGAAGCTCTAGTTACATTGTCAGAGAAACCAAAAGACCGCTGCTATAACCTATTCTGCATGAAGATGTAGCTAAGGAAATAGGTAAACCGCAGAAACGATTGTGCTGCATGCGTTGTTAAATTCCGTATTTCAAAGCTCTTTGATAACTATAGAATGTTTCACCTTAGTCTAAAAGACTGATTCCCAAAGTGATCTAGACAAGACCCATTGGGATCCATGGAAGACCCATAACGTCTGTCCGGCCCCTCGAAGCCTGGAGTATACCATGGTGAGAATTAACCTTTTGAGGTCACAAGAAATGTCACAATAAGAGTTAATCAAATCAAGTAATTTGAAAGGGAAAGAAAAATATTTACTGCACTAGAAGCTGGTATTTAAACTTTTTAATTTGTTTGACTTTGATGAACTATGACACTGGCAAAGATTTCTTATTTATACGTTTATATTCAAGTGTTTGATTTTTTTGGCTGTCATTGTACTGCCTACTTGGTGGCTTGGATAGATCTTGACAGTAGATAACAGTGTTGCCACCATAGCCTCGTACGCCAAAGTAATGTAAACAATATTATTAGTCTGTCATCATATAATCACCCATTGTTAATCATTCTCAAATAGATACGTTTAAAATAGGAACACCTGTTATGGACTTTATAATTCAATGTTGTATAAAGAAATAACGTTCACTAGGTGTCTACAAATAATGTAAATTAAGTTGTCAAAGTAACAAAACCATTAATTTCACGATCAGTTTAACGCCTTATTGACCAGAGTAAAGCGACAGAAATATGTGGGATGGGATATATCGATATAGAGAGATCGCGTGCTTGTTGACGCCTACAGTAGGCTCGCATATGCAATGTTTGAGTTACAATTATTGGGTAATATAAAATCTTTAGTATAGTTGATCTTTTCATTAGTTTACTTTATGGGTAACTAGCTGTGGCCCGCGACTCAGTCCGCGCGGAATTAATAAAAAACTTCATTAGTAGACTATGTGTTCTTCCAGACTATGTTCTGTATTTGTGCTTAATTTCATCAAGATCTATTGAACAGTTCTGGAGATACTTTCTAAAACACATCTATCTATCTTTTCTATCTTTTTATAATTTTAGTATGTTTAAATATTGCATACATCTTCATCTTCCCGTCCTTTCATCATCATGTCACCAATCATTTAATCTATCTCTGTTTAGACCCTACTGATGTATATTCACGTACATAAATAAAATTCTTATCATACGCAATTCTTCTCTTCACATAACATCGTCACCTAAATACATATGTTTAGATATATCGATACAACTTTTCGATATCGATATATTATTCTCATGAACATCACTAAGCTTACTCGATTGCGTGATGCGTAAACCATGGTAGCGACTCAATCGAACCCCTGTTCCGACGTGCACGCCATCGCCACCGCAAACCATTTCGTGGAAAGCTTCCGCGCATAGATTTACAACTTTCAGATAGTTTAATACTTTGACGTATAAAAGTGAAGTGAACCAAAATGTCATTATTTTCCACACTCAGGAACTTAAAATGGTCACTAAATGAGATCTAGAGGTCACTAGAAGGTCACTAGAGGAGAGAGAGGAGTAAGGAGAGTGAGGAGGGGAATATAGCATGAGAAACCAGCGTTTTGCACATAACCATTAAACTACTATGAATTAAGTTTTGTACATGATTTCAGTGGACTATTTGTATAGCTTTGAGGTGACGTCATTGACGTCTAAAACATGGACAGGCGATGAGCCGTCATATTCTGTGCTTATTTGATTTCCGCGATTTACGTGCTGACTGTAACAGTCGGTGGTTGGCGAAGACTCGAAATAATTATAGAGATACATTTAGTGTCTGTTTTAAGTCGGAACAAAGCAAAAGCTACTATTTCCAAGCAGCATGTCTAGAGAAGTCAGTAGTGTTTACACTAAAAACCGACAAACAGACAAATCTAATATCACATTAAGAAGTCTACATATTGAGACTTTTCGATCTGCAGGAAATTGATTTTAATCTACACCGCACTTTACCTAAGGAAAATTGCGTAGGATTATAAGAAGTCTATAATATGAGACTATTATAGCTTTACTTTTAGACCCCTGGTTTAGTAGTAGATCTTAATAATATTATAAATTTAAATGTTTAGATGTATGGATGAATGGATGTTTGTTTGAAGGTTTAATAATATTATAAATTTAAATGTTTAGATGTATGGATGAATGGATGTTTGTTTGTTGTTTGTCCAGAGCGGCTGAAGGGATCTCGATGAAATTAGGCATACATATAGAACATAGAAGAACACATAGGCTACTAATTATGTGTTTTTTTAATTCCGTGCAGACGGAGTCACGGGTGACCGCTAGTATAACATATTTGTTTCCGCGTGTATATATATATTTTTATCGTCGCTTTGTTTGTGAGAATCGTAGCGAATATTTCAAAACGTAT